ATATGCTAAAGTATCTTCTAGTATGTCTTTTAGCACCCTAATACTTTACAATCTAATACATACCAGTAACCTTTTTGTGAATGGTACTGAGTTCTTACAAATCTTTTGATTTGGAGTGGCAGAAAATGAACTATGGCATAGCTATACCCATGCAAGCTGCTGCAGGCGGTCTGCGGGCTCAGGCCACTGCTATCCTCAAATGACTTTGAACCAGCCTGTCTACAAAAACAAAGTTAGTGTTCCACTGCAAGTCCTCTCAGTAGCAGATACTCCTGCTTTGGCTTCAGGACAAGTTGTGTCTTGTGTCTCTGGTGTACGTGATGTATTGGTTTGCATACATAGGTGCTAGAGCTCTTCCTCAAAAGAAAATAGCTCTCTATAGGGCCTCACAGAGCTCTGTGGTAACCTTCTGGTGACCTTTTGTTTCTAAACAAATGTTTTTGTGTATGAACACATTATTTTTTTTTTTTTTAAGAAACGTATACAAGTCTGATGATTTGCGATTTCTTTTATTAGCATTGTACTAACCATGGCAGAATGACCAGAAGTAAAAAACACACAGTTCACACTATACCTTATAGTTCCATTAAGTGGACAATGGGAAGCAATTTGAAGTAAGTGATTTGTAAAGCAGCTCATTTAAAACATAATTTTTTAGACAGCTTGGTGAAATTCACCAGTACGTTTTTAAAGAAAAAAAAAAACACAAACAACAACAGCAACAAAAATACAACCTGACAATGCTTTGAAGGTTGGTTCTTACCACAGTTTGAGTAGATTATAGTTTAAATCTACTGTAATCTCCAAACTTGAATGTATTTGTGCACATGCTGTGAAGGGGCATGATTTCTTTACCTGTGTACTCTTATGGATTAGTGTGTACAGGCACAACCCAGCCTGATGTTCCTGTGTGACTAATGAGTATAGCTTCCTGACTAGTCTCAATGACTGGGAGCTACCATGCCTTCCTGCTCATAAGCCATGATCAAAACTGAAGCCACAAGTTTGTGACGCATTTGACTGACAGCTTACTGGTAGACCAACCAGCTCTAATTGCATTCCAGTTACTCCTGACCACTCTTTTTCAATCTATCTATCACAATGCTGCCAAAGACAGAAATAAGCTACAGAACTGCACAACTGGCAGCAGTTCGTATTTGATATTCTGACCCTTGCTTCCCCTTGCAGCCCTCTGTGGTACTCCCAAGTTCAATCACCTGATGTAGCACTTGATCCTTAGCTCCTTTCCCCCTCAGATAAACACTGCAGCGGTAATTCCTGCTGCAGGAATGTTCTTTCATAAACGCTTTTGAAGTGAGGGAACCTGATCTCTTTTAAGATAATATATTATTGGTTAGATTTCATTGGAAGAGGATCCTCCATAAACCCTGCCTATTGTTTTCTCTCCAGACTAAAAGTTCAGTCAACTGAAACCTTAGTCCTTAGGGAGCACTGGTGGTACTTCTAATCATAAGTGGAATATTTAGAAAACTTTTCTTTCATCTAATAAGATCATCCCCTTCTCTGTCAGCTCAGCTGACTATGCCACTTTCACAACTCGGAAATAGCCTCATGATCTGCTGATTTCTCTGTCATGTCTTCCAGTATTTGGTCTAAATTATCATTAGAGTAAACCACAGGAAAATCTAACTAAAGCTTATTTTGCTGAAGTCTATGGTTTTTACTTCTATATAAAGTTGAAGGCATCAGAACTAATGTTTTTGATGTTTCAATATTTACTTTAGTCCTTACCCATGTAGTTCACTAAGACTAGCTGAAATATAAATGCTATAATTTATGACTATAGTGTATTTTTTTTAATTTTTTTTTTAACCTATGAGAAAGGTATCTAACTATCACTTGACAGTTTTCAATTTTGTTTTGATGAAAATAGTTTTGATGCAATAACATTATTTTTTCACTCTGTGAAAAAGCATCGATCTTTTCTGTCTTGCTACTCCATAGGTCTATGGCCAACAAAGGGAGTACAGTTGGACAGACTAAAACTATATTGACTTGAAGGTATTTATATCCCAGTACCTGGGCTTCAGCACCAAACATTCCCCCAGAACATATGCAGTACCCACCCACCACAGCTTCTATGGTTGTTACCAGGTAGGCGGGCAATTATGCTGAAATTGAGACATCTGACCCGATGCAAATGTGGACTATCCCACCATACAAACCTTCCCATACTGAAGATAGAATGATACAAAAACAACCCTAAACACAAAAATTCACAAGAACTGTTGTAACCGATTCTCTTACATTCAGTATCGAGGGACTTCTAAAAGCTTAAACACGACTACTATCAAAAACTTTGCAAAGGAGAATCTGACTCCTACATCACTTCAAATTTATAGATTATGTCTTTTTTTTAAAGACAGAAGAGGTGCCTAACTGAAGGGAAAGGCTTTTAGAGGAGATGTATAACCATAGAGATATTAAGTAAAGTTTCAAGTCTCCTTATGGGCCTAAGCTGAAAACGCGAACTCAGGAGGTGTAAAAGAAACTTCTGCTGAGGTCTCCGTTGTTTGGAAATATTTTGCTCTCAAAGCTGTGCAGTGTAAATTGCTTATGAGGCTTTGTGGGCAGATCTCAGCTGTTTATTTTGCACACTGCTAAATATGAACACTCAAGCATTAATAAATCTTCTTGCAAATGAGCTTTGGAAACATTTGCAATTTTTTTCTTCTATATCTCCATGTAAAAAGAATTTCCAGACACAAACAACTGTCAGAGAAAAACAACTGTGATTTGTGATGTGAAACTAGAAAGTGCCTAAATTATTCGTCTTTATTAGAAAGCATGTGGGTAAACAGATTTCACCCTTTATGACCCCAGGAAGAAATCTGCTTTATTTCATGCACGGTTAGCAGCTGACAGGAGATAGTCTGCACATCTCACTGACTGCCTCAGCATTTGATACAGGTTTTGCTTCTCTTCAGGGGAAGAGAAGTGAATTACACTGCCACAAGAATCAATTTACACTTCACTCTTCTGACAACTTCAGTGTCAGTGTCATGTACAGAACAATACCAGACCAGATACAGATGCTCATTTTCCATTTATGAGCAACCAGAATGAAGTTTCATTCATTTTGGACTTAAGCCAGTAGAAAAGAGCCTCTACAGTTGTTCACTGACAGTATTCTCCAAGACTTTTTGGCTTGTAGGGCAATGATACTAAGCCAAACGGTGAGATTCCAACTTGCTGGATCACACTGAATGGCAGAATGGGCTAGCTCAGGGCCTGCTCACGCCTATGCACTAAAGCGTTACAGAAGCAGCAGACTCTTCCCTGAATAGACCAAATGACCAGATGAGATTCAGCTGAGTCATGAGGGAAGTCTAAACCACAGAAGTTCATTCTCTTCATTCAAAAGAGACAAGTAAAATAAAAAGGCTCCACTTCCATCATAGAAGTGTGGTTGCTATGCACAATCCATCGAAAACAAAAGCTCTACAACGCCCTATGTAATTAATACTACTGCAGCAGGTCGATCTGTCAGTCACAGAGTGTACTTCACTCTGTGGGGAGAAGCAACAGCAAAGCAAGCTTCATCTGTCCCACAGAAGACATTACCAATAAACAGCAGCAGTTGTGAAAACCAGTGAGTGCCTACATGGATTCTGCCCAGCAATTTCTATAATTGCCTGCTGTGCAGATGAAATTATTTCGCTTGGCTTCTGTGAGTCACAAAGCTGGTCCCTACCATTTTCTGGAGCTCACTTGGCTAGATGATTATGTCCTGATCCTATAATCAAACCTATAAAGGAAATATATGGCCTGTCCTCAGGATCAAGGAAGATCAAGGCTGTAGTATAAGGGTGGGGCAAGCCTGAGAATGCTTATTAAAGGAAGAGCTGGCAATGATGCCTTCTGTTGAGGTCATCCTAGGTTTTCTTATGTTCCAAACGTGAACACAATGGCTTCTTTTACATCTATCTTTCTTTCATGCTCTCTTATTTCTAGATTAAGTAAAGGTAAAAAGTTCCAAGGATTCTAAATGTTTAAACTTGCAACTTTCACGTCTTTTACTTGCTCCCATACTAAAGTCATAGAATCATAGCATCAACGAATGGCCTGGGTTGAAAAGGACCACAGTGATCATCTAGATTCAACCCCCCTGCTATGTGCAGGGCTGCCAACCACCAGACCAGGCTGCCCAGAGCCACATCCAGCCTGGCCTTGAACGCCTCCAGGGATGGGGCATCCACAAGTCAATAAACTGGTACCCTGAATCTGTATTTCCCTTGACTATGAAGTATGCTTTTGTTACTATGCTCCTTCAAACGCTCGGCTAAAACGTAGCCGCTCTCCTCGCAGCAGAAGCAGCGCTGTATGCACTCAAAGCTCGACGTGTTCATCCTGACAAAATAACCGCGGCCCAGGCAGGACTGGCAGGGAGCCAGGCCAGGTTTCTAAGAAAAAAAAAAAAACAAAAAAAAAAGCCCCAAAAAACCGTTTTGTTCAGCGGGGTTCTCAGAGACGCAGACTGGACCACTGCCACCGCCGCGCATGCGCCTTGGGTGTGCGTCAGTGGGAAGGGGGAGGAATGAGGGGGGAGCGCAGGGAAAGCACGCGACATCCGGGCATTTCGCCCTGCCCCGTGGCCACGCCCCTCCATAGCCGGGCAGGAGCCGTCTCTTCGCGCGTGCCCGCCCGCCTCGCGCGCGCGGCCGTTGGGGGCGCGGCCGGCAGCGAGGCCGCGCGTGAGCCCGGCACTCGGCGAGATCCCGGCGGGGAAAGGGCGAGGCGCGGCGACGCGGCCCTTCTCCTCCTCCGCTCCCTGCTGAGCGACGGCGACGGGTGAGCCGCGGCTGTCTGCGGCCGAGGCCTGCGTTCTCAGCGGGGCCGCGTCCCTCTGCCTGCCTGCCTGCCTGCCGGCCGGCCGGCGGTGACCGCCTGGCAGCCCGGGGGTAAACAAACGGCGGCGGGGCGGGGGGTGGGGTGGGGTGCCGGGGTCCCTGACAGCGCCCGGCCGGCGCGGGGGCGGTGCCGGCCGCGGCCCCTCTTAGGCGGCGCGGGGGGCGCTGCGCCCGTGTCCCCTCCTCCCCGCCCTGTGCCGGTGGGAACGGGCCTTGTAGGGTGCCCGCCCCGCCCCCCTCCCCCCGCTCGGCCCTGCCGCCGCCCGGAGCGCAGCGAGCCCTGCCGCCTGCACCGCCACCGGCACGGACGGGGCAGGGCCGGGGCTGCCCGCTGAGGTCTGCGGGTGTGAGAAGGGAAGAGCGGCAGTAATCCAGAGGTATTGCCGAAAGCCGTCCGTAATCCCCGCGGGTTCCCGGTCGCCGTGCTCGGATTATGCAAGAGGTTGCGCTTTCTCAGAATTTTTGTCTGTGTCCGTTCCTTTTGTTAACGGGTTGTAGGCCTGTGCTGGAAGCTTCTGTCTGCCACGTAAAGGCGAGGAAGGCTGCGTAGCTGCACTCGTGTGACCCCGCAGGTCGGTGATCGGCCGCGTGTCGGGCTGTGACAGGGGCTTGTTTGAGGCACGCACACCGAAACGGGGCTGCAGCCGCGCTTTCACAAGTTGCAGCGCTGCCGCTGTTTGAAATCCCTAGGGAGAAATCCCGTGGGCCGGAGAGAGGGCTTTCTTTTGTTCTGTAAAGTTCTGCGCAGGTTTGGCCGAGGAGCTTTTCATAATCCTTGCTTCCCTTTTGCTGATTGTGTTGTTATTGTGCCAGAATCAGTGTGTGTGTCTGTGAGCTTGCTGGTCCTAAACTGGGCCTGTACTGCTGTAAGTACAGCATCGCTTTGCTTCTGCCACTGCTTGAGGAAGGAGATCTCCCTCCACTTTCTTTCTTTTTTTTTTTTTTTTTCCTTTTCTGAAGAACACTTTTGGTGCTCAAATCCTTTCCCTGTGCAGCTGCTGCCATCTGATGCATGTCATACACCTTGTGCTGTGATTTGGAGGCTTAAGGCTCATGTATCCTCTGTGATGTGTGGTGATGAGAATGTTAGCGATGCTTTTCTGTGGTCTCTCTCTCAACACTTCTCTTCTACAAGTGCAAAAAATATTGTTAAGCTCTTTGGTTGCCAAGCAAAGTAAGCAAAGAAATACACTGGCAACTTTAGTCTGTCTTCTGCTCTGTTTCCATCTAAATGGCTTTGAGTATTTTTTCAGTACTGGTCCGGCTGTACTCAGAAAAGAAATAGATTCACAGGGTGAATTGAAGTTGTATTGCAAACTGAGACTTCTTGCGGGGCTTCTGTCTCAGGTTAGAAGGTGTTAGAGAATAGGAGAGTCCTAGCAAAATGGGCGAAGTCTAAGCAAAAGCAGCATCTTTGCTGTACTTTTGGATGTTCTTTCTCTTTGGAACTGAATTATTGGTTTACTCAATTAACTTTGTAATTTGCCTCTTACTTTGATGATAGAAGTTTAATGAGTGATAAGCCTAACTAGCAGTACCTGGTTGGAAAGTTTCTTGGCAACATTTCTGAATGTTCATAGGCAACCCATTTTTTTTTTTTTAACCTATGTCCTGAAGGGCTTTTCCCAGTACTTATTTTAAGCACGTGGCTGTGACAGCATAGGGATGTCAGTCTGAGTGCTCTTCTGCAGCTGCTGGGGATTTCAGCATCGTAACAAACATGTGCTTTTGTGTTCAACTGAACTGAAAGAAAACCAACACAACATAATTTCCTTCTTATTGATGAACACGTTCCTTTGGTGAGTTCCATCTCAAATGAAGCATATGCTCTTTGCTTCTGGCAATGGGATCCAGCAGTACAGGGATGAGCATAGGGAATCACATATCTTATGATGATTTGTACTGGTGATGATTCTCTTTCAGTTTCCTTATCTGAACAGTAAGAGTAGAGATGAGTTGAGTTTGTGTCAGTGAGACAGCTTGATTGTTCAGTGGTTGAATATTCCTGAAAGGGCAGCTTTAAAGTGAGAGTTTAAAATTGAGTGAGGATTACGGAGAAATCTATGTAAGCTTTTTCAAGTGTCTAGACACTGTTTTTCAGTGTGGACTGTAAAATCTTGTGGTATAAGACAGACCAAGGAAATTGAAATTGCAAGGGAGCTCTAGATGCTGACTTACTTTGTAAGCTGCTGTTTTAAATGGTTTTTGGGATGACACCCGGTGTGCCTTTTTTTTCATTTCATTAAAATCTGTTAATGCCATCTGAATGTAAAATACCATGCAAACCTTTACAGCCTGTAGGACATCTAATTGAGCAGACTGCACTGTTGACCAAATGTCAAACACTGATCTCTAAGCTCTTAATGTGAAACCATGATGAAAACCTGATAGGTTTAAACTTAAGTCATGAGAACGAGAGGCTCAATGAGATAAACTCTCAATTTGTGTGGTTACAGCATTCCGTGTTGAACTTATGTTGTTGGTTCAGTGACTTTTATGTAGTGATACCTGGGTTGGACCTCTTCACATAGGTGCCAGGAGATGGGTAACGTGGTGGTTGTTTTTGGAAGTTAAGCTTCATATTTGTTTACTTAGCAGCATCTCTAGCATGAACTGCAGTTCTCCAAAAATCCAGTGGGATAGAGAAATTTTGTTGGAATGCCAGGTTTTTGCAAATAGGATCTTTTCAGGAGTTCTTTATTTTCATAACTGTAATGCTCTTCCAAAAACTACTTTTAGCTGAGTCACTATTCTCATCGGCCATGGAATGTATTTGGATGGGAATGTTCAGCTGGAGTGTGTGGAAAAAGTAATAGCTTTGTGCCCACTGACATTTGGGAAGGACGGTTTAAATTATATTAGAGCTCAGAAATTGATGACTTGTATGTCCACAAACCTGTATGTTTTCCAGTTCTAGATTTGAGTTACAAGCATTGAAAGATCAGTGAATAACATGTTCAGCAGGAGATAAATTCCCAGCTTCATGCCATGGGCTGTTTGAGATAGGTTTTGTTCTGTTTAGAAAATGGTGGGGGGTTTCTGCTGCTGCTTGTTTGTTTGTTGAGGTGGTTGGTTGGTTGGTTTTTGTTTCTTTGAAACTGGATATTGCTTTTAAAACCAAGTAGTATAGGAAGGGGAGGGGAAAGCCAAATACCTGAAAATGGAGTAAGTTGAAATTCCTAACATCATTTCTGATGTTGTTTTCCTACTCTCTTTCATCTACTTTAAAAATTTCAAATTATTTTAGAACAGTCTTTGTGTTTCACTATTATCTGATGCAGTGGGGAGGAGGTAGGTGGAACATTAACAGTTTTGTGTGCTAACTGCTTTTCTTATAAAGTGATCAGGCTCTGTGCTACTAGCAGGGATATATGTTTTAATAGTAAAATACCCTTATATGTGCAGAGAACACTACATCTGTGTTTTGGTTTTAGATAGCAGTTGTGTTCATGTTCCATTTTGCAGTTGCTTTTTTACACTGCTATGGGAACTGGTTCAACTTGTGTAGTAAGACCTGAAGTGGTATAGTAACAAGATTTTTGGCCTGATCTCTGTAAATATAAGGACAGGTATTCTGCAGCAACGTGTATGAATTAAAATATTATGTAAGGAGAAGAATAAGAATTTAGTTTCTTTTGGACGTACGACTACCAGCTGCAATGAAGGAAGCATTACATTTTAGCAGTAATTATGGTTTTGATTTCTGAGGATGGTTTATTTTCATTTCTGGTTTTCTGTAAGATTTGTGAGTTGATATCTGAGCATGACGTTGTTTATTCAGATATATAACCTCTTTTCCTTCACTGTTAAGTTTTTAATAATTGCTTGTATATGAACACATAGAAGAAGCCTGTTTAGTAAAGAACTAATTCATATTAAGCAACCGTTTAATAAGTTTTTAAGTCTGAAGATTGAAGCTGGACAAATTTTAACTAGAATAAAAGGCAGTTTATAAAATAATCAAACTTGAAATGTTTTTTTAGTTCTCCAACTGTTGCAGTCTTTAATTCAAGTTTCATGCGTATTTTTCCTGCAAGATTCCTGGTGAGCCAAACCAGAGAATAAGGTGAAGCAGGTTATAATAATAACTTTGAAGAGTAGTCTTTTCTAGCCTTAAATTGAAGTAACCATGTAGTGTGACTAACAGCTAGCAGTAAACTAGAATGACATTGCAGTTGTCAAGTCTATTAAAGACCTGTTTATTTTTCCCTGAAAAATGCAATAATATTTAACCATTTGTAGCTACAGGTAGCATAACCAAACAACCTTTTCAGAGGATTGTACGTAAGGAAAGCAATCTGTATCCCAGAAATCAAACCTTGTTTCTGATCTTGTCTCTTGCAGAGTCTGCAGCAATCAAAAGGAGTCACACTGAGCTCAAGTTCAGAAGTGCTTTACACATGAAATCTGCTGGCTCTCTAGCTGAGTCTGCCCTGTCACCATCTCAACAGGTAGAGTGCTTTTGTGCCTGAGCCATGCAGCAAGCATAGCTGTTCCTGGTGTGATTGTCCTGTGGCAAAATGCACGTTTAGGCCTTCAGGTTTCTTCTTTGGGGAATGTGTCAAGAAGAATGCATGGCAAATCTGTCACAAAAGTACTCTAAGGAAAACCTGGTAGTTTGGTTTTTTGTTCTTTCTTGGAGCTTGATAGCAGTAGAGAAAGTGTTCTGTTGTAAAATGGAAGCAGTCCAGATACATAGGGCATAGCGAGTGTCTGCTTCAGTCAAAAGCAGTGTTTTGTTTTGCATTTGGTTCTATTTTTTCATCTGCAGTGACTTGAAAGGAAATATCTCAGTGAATTCTGTGAATGGGAGGAAGATGTTCTACCACTGGGGAAAAAGGAACTCCTAAAGTGTTACCCAAAAGAATGCAAAATACAGGTCAGCTTGTGTAATAGGATGGATGTTTTGTGGAGATAGACACAGAAGAGTTCTTCTTTTTTTTCAAATTCCAATGCTCGCTATTTTGCTGTGGTTAGAAATTTCTGATTTGCTTTGTATTTTTTAAGTAGATGGATAACTTTAAATTATGCTTTGTGAAACATTTAATACGTAATGAGGTTTTTGATTTATCCTTTGTGCTATATCACTGATAAAAGCAGAATTTTGCAGAAGAATGTATGCTTGTGTTTTCCCTTGCAGTAAGAAGCCATGTTTTGAGCCTGATCATTTTCTGCCTCTTTTATGTGTTACTTGTAAATTGCTGTAGCCTCTGCTGGTAATAGTGAAAGCAGCATACTACTTGTGTAGTAGTTTGGGCTTTAGTCAATTGAAGCTTCTTGTTCTGTATTCACTGATTATGAAATAATCCAGGCTTAATCTCACATATCCAACATGTGCATTCACTATCAGCCAGGAATGGTGCTGTTGTCTTTGGTATTCTGGGAAAACTTATTAAAACTACGTTCAGAGTATTTGGATTGATAACTGTGATGCACCAAGTTGTAACAGAAGCTGGGGTTGTCTTGATGAACTCTGAGAAATGGGGGGAAAAGAGTCGCTTGTATAGAGTTGAGGTTTTAAGTGTGGCATCTGAAAGGACTTTACTTTGTTGAAGTCTCTCTGATATAAGCCAATTTGAAGAAATAAGGCTTCCTAAAATCCCTGTCAAGAACTTCTCTTTGGAACTAGGAAAGCTGTATTTAAAGAAATGCATATTGCCTCATATGTAGAATGCTATAAGATGGCTATATATTACTACTCTATTGCCTGTGCAGCTGGAGTACATAATGTGTAAATTTGTCACTTCTTCATAATGTTACTCCACATAAGGATCTAGCAGTTCGTAATGTTGAGTGTTGCACTTCAGAATTCATCACTTGAATAAGGAGCTGGAAATTAGTGCAGCATCAGATTAAAATCTGTATTTCCTATTTCCTCTATATCTTTATTTTCTATTTCCTATCTTCTCAATGCTGTAGAGAGACAAAAAATTAAGTAGGATTTAAGGTGACCTGCTCCCTAATGTGGGGGGACAAAGGCTGCATTGGTTTTGAAGAAGCCTCGGAATGAGGCTGTTTAACCTTCGTCTTTATTGAGTCTTGGTGAGCAGAGTTTGATGAGTAGAGTTGCCTTTTTTTTGCTTGCCTCAAGCTGGGATGGCAGCTAGTGGTGATACCTGTCATTCCCCCTATTGGAATGGTGTCAGAAGACCAAACCTCCAGTTCATGTTATCCACCTGTCATTTGAAAACTGATAAATTAGAAAAACACACACTAAGCAACAACAACAAAAATCAATAAATCCCCAAACCAACCAACCACATGAAACTTCCACACAAAAAAAAAGTAATACCACCAACAAAAAGTGAGCATAACATGCATAACACAAATATTCTATCTGTTTTGTAAGTAAGAAGGGTGTTATACTTGTGGAAGACAGCTGTGACAAGAACAGCTTATCCTCTAGAAGACTATGAAATTTGTTTTCAGCAGCTTTTCTAGTCAAGATTAATGATACCCTCCCACGCATGGGAGGATGTAGAAAAAGAAGATAGTTTGTTCTGTTGTTTTCTGTAGTACTACCCATTCTATTTTTGGCAGAATTTTCTAAAACGTTCTTATATTGCTCTATTTCTTCTTCTTGCTATCTAATCTTAGCCATGGAGCTGGTTAAAAGATGGAAGTTTCAGGAATACTGTGGTGCCTTGTTTGCGTACATCTGGTTGCTTGTGGGTGGTTTTGGATGCTCCTGGGAGCTTAAACCTGTAGTACTGCTTGTGTATCTCTGTTCTTCTACTTCCTCGAACCAGTAATTTAAGAACCTGTTGGCCTATTTAATCAAATTTGATAGAGGGAAGAGTCTTGAAGAGAGTTGAGCTTTTATAGGTTTGTTGAATAGAAAGCATCTGAGTAATGGAGGTTTCAGCAGTGGTAGTAATTCCAGTGATTTCCTTCTTGTTTGGATCAAAGAGTTCATGTAGAGGGGAGTAAGTAAGCAGATTGCAGCTTTGTTAAAACTAAGTACACTTACACTCTGTGGTGTAGGAGATAGAGCTCTTACTTCAGCTGAACTACTGTGCAGTGACTGTTCAAAACTCCTGTTATGCTATTTTAATGTTTGTGTTACAACAGCAACTGAAAATCATGTGGCTGCAGCAGCTGGAATTTTAATCCTTTTAATTATGACAGATTTTCAAAGCATGCTCTGGCTGATTTGGTCAGCTGACTGTATAGTATGTACAATAACATCAAGTGATTGCACAAATTCTGAGACCAGTGGTCACCTCATTGGAACTGGATGTATTTTTAGGTTTCTCTGCTAGTAACAGTCAAGTGCGTGTACTTAAGCATCTCATATGAACTGAACCTAGTTGCTGACACTATGCTATCAGAAAGGACAGCTGTTCCTTCTTGCTGTAGTCACTGATTGGATATTTTGTCTTCTCACCAAATTGTGACAAGGAACACAATGGGGTACAAACACTGTAAATGTTATTTGCATGTGTTTTAATGACAGCTGTTTTTCTTTTGGTCAGCAGTGGTGTGGGTCTTCACTTTTGTCTATCAGAGTAATCGATAGCACAGCTTCAGAGTTTGCTGCATTGAGCAATAATTTTTCTTTATCCTTTACCTAACAGTTTTTTCTTCATCAAATAGTGTTTGGGAAGAAGGTGGTGGCTCATGCTCTCTGTGTAGTACCAGCAGTACCTCATTTGTGGAACTTCAAAGGAAAATGATTTGTGTGTGGATACACTTAATCGGTGAATCAAAGAGCTATTAAGTTTCGTGGTTCACAAGCAGTTCTGCAGCAGGTGCTATGAAGTTAAGGCTTGTGCAGAATTGTAGCGAAAGTCATGCTGATGCTCTACTGATGTCCAAATAGCTTTTAAATCATGTATTGCTCATAGAGCCACAGGATTTGAATTTTAATAGGAAAAACATTTAATACCTATTGTAGGTGTCAATAAAATTCTAATTTACAGGTACTGAGAGAGATATTTTCAGCTATTGAGTTGTTCACGTGCATAACTGCTTCTTTATTAAAAAGTAATAACAGCTGGAAACATCTGCTATCAGAATTAGCATCTACCTGTTGGTAGCATATGATATTTTAGGATCTGATGTGGTCTTCATAAACTGTTAGTAGTATTTAATGTTTTTTACCAGGTTCTGTTTCCTTCGCACTTCAAAGTCTCATTTGTTTCTATGAGATCATTAGGTTTTGGTAAGGGTTAGCTTGTGTGGAAGGAGCCTTGAAGCTTGAGAAAAGCTAGTATAATCACACCACTCAGGTTTCACAATCTGACTTGTAAAGACCAAGATAGCGTGCTAGGGAGGAGGATGCTTTACTGTTTTAATAGAATGTACTTCTGTGCAAGCTCACATGGGCTATTTAAAGGTAGTATTTAATGGTACTTGACTAATTTAGGGTATGTCTACACAAATGGTGCAGGCAAACATGAGCTCTGGTTGACTGCATTCTGAGCAGCCTGAATGTAAGCCAGCTTTGGCCTAGAAGCAAGACAGCAGTGCTAGCATAGCTCTGTGCTCCAGCTAACAAACCTGCTGCCTGGTCTAGAAACAGCTTGATTCTTAAAGTGAGCCAGGGGCACAGCTTTCTGCAAAGTAGGTAAACATTCATTTATTTTAAAATGTAATTCTGTGGGTTACTGATTGAATTAAGCCTTGCTGCTACCAGACTGTTTGATGGGAGCCAGGCTGTGTTTAGATGTATGGAGGACTGGGCCCTATGAAGTCTTTTTCATTATCAACTAACATTGTTCTTTTTCAAGGCTGTTTCCATTGTGTGTCAAGTGCTTTAAAATAAGCACGTAATCCAAGAGGTTCCTTCAGATCTCTGCTCTCTGATTGACTCCAGGAAACCTGGAGTTTGGTTTTAGTACTGATGCAAAACTCCAAGGTTGTTTTGGTCTATCAACAGGTAGACTGTTGTATTTGACAGGAATTACTTAAGAGGAGAGCTTTAGTGAAAGAACTGCAGATAAAATTGCATTCTTTGTCCACTAATATTCCCTGTTTGATTCTTTGCTGAACATTTTTAAGATCTTTCTGTTAGATGCCATCAGTTTTGATATGTAAGGTTAAAGCATGTTGTGTGCCAGAAAGTTTTGCTGAAATGTTCAGCAGTCAGTTAGTCACAGAGTTCAGTGACTGATGCATTTGATGGAAAAACTTATTACTCAATATATAAATACAAAGGTACAGTGGGGAAAATTCAGCTGTGTTTTGCCTGCTAAGTGTAGCACATATGCTTCTTTGTTAGAAGTGTTCGGGGAGAGTGGGTGGCTAAAATATCTGAGTTATCCAAATTACGAGAGATGGAGGGATGAGAACTGATTGGTACTTCAAGTTGGCATGAATTTCAAAGTATTAAAAGAATACAGCTGAGTGAAGTTGGACAGAACTCTATTTAAATGCTTTAAATAATTTAAAGTGGAGTGTCTGAAAAGCTGTTTTGTTTCCTCTTCAGTTTGAACAAAAGGAATAATACTCATCATTCTTATTTTTAGAGTACTTTTCATTTAAGAAGTTTTAATGAATTAAAACTGAAGTGTTTACTGAGCCCATTTTTCAGCCAGTAGAAAAAAAAAAAAAAGTAAGGAACCGTTTCTGTTCTATTAATCCTACATTCTGCAAGCATTTTATTTTTATTAAAATGAAACAAAACAAAAACAAAAAGACAACATCAACAAACAAACTTTATTTGGAGCTTAGGGAGTAAGGAGAAGATGGAACTGAGCAATGTATTTTGAGGTCTGGCTCTGTGTTAGTCACTCTCTGGTATCTCTGAACTGTAATCCTAGTGGTATCACTTCTGCAGGGGAGTTTTTTGGAGCATGTGGGAGGGTTTGGTCATTTATGTAGGCCTGCACTCAAATTGGTAAGTAGTTCCAGAGCTTCTGGAAGTATGATACAAAGATGCCAAGTTTAACTTTTTTTAATTATTACTTTTTTCCAGTTAGCACAGCAGAGGATTGGGTTTGTGTATGTCAGTGTGTTGAAATAGATTATGCAATCAGTTCTGTTTGGGTTTTTATTGCTGTTTGTCCTAGTTATATAGAGTTGCCATGTTACCTCCACGCTTTGAACTGCTGGTATTGTAAATAGGATGAGTGGTAGAATGGATTAAATAAATTACCTTTTGTGGGTTGAACTGAAGATGTATCAGTGGGGCTGTTTTGGGTAGTATAGTTTTAATATGAAAGTTTTCAGTGAAATAAAAGAAATTAGCAATTATACTATGCATTTAAGTACATTTATGCAAAAATTTAAAAATGGAAGAGGAACTACAGGTGAAATTAGTAAGAGTGAAGAGCTGTTACAAAGGACTGCTCTCTGTCAGAAGTGTGTGTGGAGGCACAAAAGGAGGTTGAGATGAATGCTGAGGGTTGCAGGTTGCCTTAAAGAGAACTGCATGAAGGTGTTGGAAGCTTAATTGGTAGCAAGTAGCTCAGGCAACTTTGTTTAGAGAAATGGATGTTTAGTACAGATGAGGATAAGTCTGGCTTCCTTTATTTTGTCTCCTTTCTCTGTAAGTTGTATGGTTTATGATTTTAGGTAATAAATGGTAGTTGATGATGATGCTTTGGTTTTAATTGAGTCATCTATTTGGAATGGGCAGGGAAAAAGAGCTCTTCCTGAGAGAAGATTATTCAGTGTTTTTATCTAAGTTACACATTTAATATCTGGTGACAGTTTGTGCATGTATTCTGATGCATATGTGTATATTTAATTTTTGGGTGAAGTTTTTTGCTTGAGGTAAAATTTCACCTACTTGACTACTGATCAGTTTGTGTTGCTTTAATATACATTTCTTCATACGTATGGAGGATGCAAAAATGCAAATAACTGTTAGTAAACATTAACAGTATTGAATTAATATTCTCTGTTGTTTTGTCTCCCTTCTCTTCTTTCAGAATTGGATTTACAGTCATGGAGGAACATCAGCAACATTTGCACTGTGTGAACTGTGTCAGCCGTCGTTGTATGACCAGACCAGAACCTGGCATTTCATGTGATTTGATAGGCTGTCCACTGGTTTGTGGAGCAGTTTTTCACTCATGTAAAGCTGAGGAACATCGCATTTTATGTCCACTTGAAAGAGTGCCTTGTTTGAACAGTGGCTTTGGATGTCCCTTCGTAGTAGCCCGTAATAAAATTGCTGATCATCTGGAAGTTTGTCCTGCAAGTGTGGTATGTTGCACCATGGAGTGGAACAGATGGCCTGTCAGTTATGCAGACCGGAAATCTTACGAAAATCTGAGTAAAGATGTTGATGAAGTGGAGCAGCTAGACATGGCTTTGGCCCTTCAAGACCAGCGCATGTTACTAGAGTCACTTAAGGTAGCAACTATGATGTCAAAAGCAGCTGATCAAATGTCAGAATCCAGAGAACAAACATCTGTCAAAACAAATGCTCCAGATACAGTGTGCTCCAATGGTTTGATACCTGTAGATGAAGAGTCCTATGGAGCACTTTATCAAGCTACTGTAGAAACAACAAGGAGTTTAGCTGCTGCTCTGGATATCCTGAACACTGCTACTAGGGACATAAGTATGTTAAACTCAAGGCTTTGCACTTCACCACAGGAGATGAAAGAAGATACTGAGATTAAGGAACAAGTTTCAAATGGCATTATTCAGGATAGTAAGCCTGATTGTGAATATCCAAATGAAGAAAATATTGGAGCAGTTGGGGGAATTAACTTTGATAGCCTGCATCAAAATTCACAAATGGAACAAAATGGCTCTAGTGATATTTGTTATGATGCAATACAAAATCATGACTTAAATCTAAACCTTAATAACTCCTCACTCTTGTGTAATGGTTTTCATGTAGAAAATGAGTGTTCAAAGGTGTTGGACCAGAATGAAGATCTTGGTGTATCTAATTCAAAATCATCCAGTGTAGCAAATGGTGAATGTACTGCGTCTCATGATGATGAAGCATTACAGTCTTGCAGCTTCTTCCCTGTAACATCACAACTTAAAGAAGTAATACCATCTGATCACTTAGTTAATGGCAATGTTAACCACATGCTGCTTCCCCATAATACTAATGAAGAGGAAATTTTAGAGAGGCAAGTGGAGCAGGAAAGACTGAGAAATGTAGATGTGTTTTCAATTATGCGGCATCGATCATACAAATTCCTTTGGTCAGCACCAAAAGAAGACAAAGCTGTTGATACATCAGATTTGGAGATAACAGAAGATCCTATGGGTCTTCAGGGAATTGATCTAATCACTGCAGCTCTGTTGTTTTGCCTAGGAGACTCTCCTGGAGGTAGGGGAATATCAGAAAGTCGCACTGTCGATGTGTATCGTGTTGACTTTGGGACCCAAACGTTTTCTCTCCCGTCAGCTATATTGGCCACAAATACGATGGTGGGGGAAATAGCCTCAGCATCTGCGTGTGATCATGCCAACCCACAGCTTTCAAATCCAAGTCCATTTCAGACCCTTGGACTGGATTTGGTATTGGAATATGTGGCTAGATACCAAACAAAACAGCGTTCAATGTTTACATTTGTTTGTGGACAGTTATTTAGGAGGAATGAATTTTCTTCTCATTTTAAGAATGTGCATGGTGATATTCATGCTGGCCTTAATGGCTGGATGGAGCAGAGGTGTCCCTTGGCATATTATGGGTGTACATATTCTCAGCGAAGGTTTTGTCCTTCAACACAAGGGGCAAAAATTATTCATGACCGCCACTTACGGTCATTTGGTGTTCAGCCTAGTATATCTACAGTATTAGTAGAACCAGCAAAAAGCTGCTTAATTGGACTACACAATGACCATTTGAGTAGTTTACCTTTTGAGGTTTTGCAACACATTGCTAGTTTTCTAGATGGCTTTAGTTTATGTCAACTTTCAAGAGTGTCACGTTTAATGAGAGATGTGTGTGGAAGCTTGCTTCAAGCACGTGGAATGGTGATACTGCTTTGGGAGAAGAGGAAGTACCCAGATGGAAGTTCTTCTTGGCAAATAAAAGAAAAGGTATGTTATTTTTGGTGGTAAAAGGGAAAGTATGAATTTGGTCATCTCTGCTTTTCTATTACTGTTTTTCCTGATCTAATATTATTACTGGTTTTTTGATATAACATACCTTCAAGAAACAGATTATCATACAGAATAATTAGCAAAAATGGCTAGCAGGTTAGTTCAGTTTTCCACATACTTCAAGAAGTAGTCTGCCCATTTTTATATGGTGTAAATAAACATTTTAAAATCTTGGGAAAACTCTAGGTTTTAGCTTTTAGCTCATTATTTTCTTTAGTATTTAAATATTCCATAAAAATGGGAAAGTTGCCTATAGCGTTTACATCTCTTGCATTTATTCTTTTTTAAGTAATTTTGCTTTTTGTTCAACTGTTCAGGTCTTATTTGTAGTTATGATAGGGTGCAGAGTATCCAAAGCAATCGTTTGGAATTGTGGAAGCTGATCATTTCACAAATGGATAATTTTCTAATGAAGTTACCAATCATGACCAGTACAGATAATTATGCAGCACTTTATCATTTAACTTCTGATAGCACCTATTTTGTGGGCACACACTGTCATAGAATCATAGAATAGCCCAGCTTGGAAGGGACCTCAAGGATCATGAATCTCCAACCCCCCTGCCACATGCAGGGCCACCAACCTCCCCATTTTATACTAGACCAGGCCGCCCAGGGCCCCATCCAATCTGGCCTTGAACACTTACATCCACAACCTCTCTGGGCAGCCTGTTCCAGCACCTCGCCACTTTCTCTGTAAAGAACTTCCCCCTGACATCCAACCTAAATCTTCCCTCCCTCAACTTCAAACCATTTCCCCTTGTCCTGCTGTTATCTACCCTTTCAAAGGGTTGATTCCCCTCCTGTTTGTAGGCTCCCTTTAGGTATTGAAAGGCTGCAATGAGGTCACCCCACAGCTGAAAGCTAAAAACTATTGTTCGTCTTTCTTTCCACTGTTCAGAGCTAACTGGTGTAATCTCAAACTGTCTATCCTCAGTTTTATCATACTGATTTTTATAGTTCCAAAACATGTCTTGAAAATGTAGTGCAAACATTTAATCTCCTGAGTTCAGATATCTTGAAACATTTTGAACCTGTGTACAACTTGTTTTCCAGGTTTGGCGGTTCAGTACAGCCTTCTGTACTGTGAATGAGTGGAAGTTTGCTGACATCGTAAGCATGGCTGATCACCTGAAGAAATGTAGCTATAATGCTGTAGAGAGAAGAGAAGAGGCTGTTCCACTGCCATGTATGTGTGTAACACGAGAACTCACTAAAGAAGGACGTTCACTGCGTTCTGTTTTGAAACCTGTACTTTAAATATTGCAGCCACTCCAATTGCACATACACTCAAGCACCTGATATAACCTCGGTAATATTATGTGACACTTTATTAATGTACTAAAGATACTTTCTAGCTAAATCTACTCTGTCACTGTGTATATAAGGTTTGAAGTGACATTTATTTTTTATAATACTGTTTAGCTGGAAAGTAATGAAAGTTGCCTTAACGTTTGAAAAATTTGGAACTTGCTGGACAGGGTAGTTTTATCTAACTTATGTAATTTAAAAAAGGAATCCTAAGGTGTGTTTTTTTTAAATTCATTGGTGCCCATGTTGCTGTTGACTGAAGACATTTCAAATGGCCTCTAAATGGTATGCACGTTTAGATGGGAAACACTGAATCGTACTGAGACAAAATGCTGACCAAGTGCACTTTCTGCATTTGGTCTATTTTTCTTAACAAATTATAATCCGAATATTTGAAAGATGAGGAAGAATTCAAAACGTCATGGTAAATATCTCAAACACTCAGCTTTGAAGCACATCTTTAGCTATGAAATCAGTGTTCTACTGCTTTTCCTAATTAACAGGTGACCTAGGATAAGCTTTTTAAAATTTCTTTAAGGAACGATCTAAGTGAGCTCAGATTTACAGCAGCTTAATTTTTAGTACAACTTTATTTTGACATGTCAAAAATGATTACTTTTCTTCTGAGCTATTAACAGCTACATCACTCACGGGAGCAAAACTTTTGGAGCTAAAAACATGGAATGCTAGTTTTTATTCTCGCACCTACAATGACATCTGATATAAAATGTTTCTCCTTGTCCTGCAATTGGCTGAGGGTTAAATTGCTTGAGCAGTCAGAAATTCAAAGTATGTGATGAACATTTATGAACTTATAATGCAGCTAATGAAAGGGCTTTTCTTGTTTTATGGTATTGTGAGATGTATTGTCTCCTTTTCTGTTAATTTGTCTAGAAAAATGCTGCTTTTTTTTTTTTTTTGAGGAGCATTTTAAATTACTGGTATGTATATCAAATGTATCATCTTCATAAGATGAGACATGATTTGTTAATTGCATAAAGCATATCAGAAATGTCTATTCAACCACATCTGTTAAATGAACAACTCCAGCTTGTATCCAGTCTTCCATAATAAAAGATCTTGCAAGGCATTTGTGAATAGGGAATACATGCTATGAAAAATGCCCTGGTATAGCAAAACAGTAATTACTTGAACTGACTTTCCAATTTGTTTGTATTAATGTTGGTGTCTCTAGCTTGTTGCACTTAGCAACTGTGCCACAAAGCTAAAACAGAAACAGACCAGAGTTTAGAACAAAGAAATACAGTACGTATTTCCATTATAGGAAAAAAAAAAGAGATTAGTAAGGAGGAGATGTTTACAAAAATGGCTAAATTTATTACTTGTAAATTCTGTACTGGACAGTTGTTTATGGCTAGTCTGGCTGCAGTCCACAACTTTGGTATCTGTGCATTTCCCATTCTGGGTCTGATCCAGCTAAACATTCACTGCCTTCTGCCTTTTTCAATCCAGAATTCTAAGGGTGCCCAGGAAGAAAAAAAAAAAAAAAAAAAAAAATTGAATCTATTCTCTTAGTGCCATGAGTTTAAATTACAAGAGCTCAAACAGAAACACTGCCTGGATCCTGAAGCTACGAGTTCTCTTTCCACACTTCTTTTTTTTCGTTGAAGGGAGGAATTGAGTAAACCTACCAGAGGAGTCAACAGTATTTGCAGTAATTCTTAACTGTTACCACAGTTCTGTGGAAAGGAAAATAAGAAAAGGAGAAGGAGAATCTTATGTACAGATCTGACCAGCTGGGTTTTAGGTAGGAATTAAATATAAATAAATAACAATACAAAATAAAAACAATGCCCTAAGAGAACAGGGTTGTTGAAGTGCTTACTTACCCACAAATTCTTCAGTACAAGGTAGGAGAGAGACTTTAATCAATTCTTATCTTTTAGCTCTAATGGCTCCTTGCTTCTGCTCTCCCAGTGTTTAAAAGTAGTTGTGACTGGAAGGATCCTGACTGCTGAGGAGCTTATGGTCAAGTTTATGGCAAAATCTACTTTAAAACATCTGTCTTGGTCAGCAGTGTGGTGGTTTTGGTACTTGGCATTCTTTGTAACTACCCAAAACCCTGATAAGCAATGGTAGGCAGGCATGTATCTTCGTTCCTTAGGAAAAGGGGGTATCCACTTCTAGGAGCTGGTGTTGGTAGAATCTCACTTGTAGCACAGTGCAGATCTACATCTAAACTATCTGTTGTTGATTTATTAAAATGAATTTTTAAGTACTCAGTGTTCTTCTTAAGAAATAACACTATTTCTCAATTCATGCACTTTTGTTTTCAAATGTAGATACAGGCTTTTTTTTTGTTAAATTAGTTTTATTTTTTACGAGAATCCAGAGCTATTAAAATTATCAATGTTGTAAACAAAATCTCTGCCTTGTAAACTGCTGCAAATGCAGGAATACAATATAGCTAGGATAAAACTCCTTTTTTTTTTTTTTTTAACACTGCTATGCAGTTCATAAAACATCTATGGTGTATAGTCAGTCTATCAAAATGTGGCTTGTTCACATTTGCCCCTGAATTTTAAAAACGCTGTATCCCTTTCCTGGTACATCTTCCTTACAGCATACATAGACAGCTGTTCCAGTCTTTCTTTTACTTGATACCATGTTGCTACTTTGTTTAAAATATGTTTTCAATCATTATGCAATATTTTTTTTGCAATGTCTGTTAAAATCCTAATAAAACTTTTGGAGATTCTCTTTTAGTATGACTCTTGTATTTGAAAGCTTTCCACCAACGTTTCAGTCTTCAGATATGGTGCTCAATGTCTGCCTGTAGGATTTCACTAAATACTTGAAAAATCAAATTACATTAAGGAATCTATTTACAAATATTTAAACATTGCATGATTTGCAAGGAATTAATATACATCCACTTCATGTTGAAGATCAGTCATTTCTTTTTAGACTATAGGCCTGTTACTATTGCTTTAGTCTATTAGATTTTCTTCTGCAATTAAAGATTCAACTATATAGCACTGACTGTTGCTGTACCTGCAGGCTTTTTTCTGAATAGTAAGTCAGAAAGATTACCTGATGAAGATTATAGAGTTTTACAATACTTCTTTGCAAAGAACATTTTCAGTGCATTGTTTCATTTAGACTTCTTCTGTAGAAAGCTCTTGCTTGAAGTAGTCCAGGAGCAAAAAATCTAGAGTGCTTTTAGAGAATAGTTGTAGTTCTGATTGTTTGTAGAATGGCATAACACAAAACAAAACCTCGGAGAAGTTACAGAATCATTAGGGTGGGAGTGGAAGACTCTGTCCAGGAATTGATTGTTGGCCCTGCAGTTTGCTAGCATGAATAAACTGACAATATTAAAAAATAAAAATGTACCTATACTACATAACTCTGATAACTTAATAAATGAATCTGAGCTGTGCTCAGTAATGTGCTGTGGCTCACAATTTTTTCAACCACCATTACATATTTGGGGCTATTTTATTTTTTGTACAAGTGTACCCAAGGTGCTGTGTTTAGCCTTCTGTATTTTCCTCTCCATAAGCGTATTCAGGCATACTGCTATGTAAGGAAATCATTTTTGTCTTGCTTTACTTTCTTTGATGTCTCAAGTATTCCAGGAGATTCGCCCTCTACTAGTTTTTAAATGTCCTTACTAAAACTGTCTTGATAGGGTCTTACATGGTAAACTCACCTAACCAAAGAAAGATTTAATGGAAATGGAAATTTTGATGCTTGCTGTATTAACAGAAAGGTGACTCAAATGTTTACAGTCAAAAGGGCTGTTCAGGCATTTTTGATCATCTAATGAACAAAGTGCAATGGTTGTTAAGAGCATGGAGAGAATACTACATTCAGCTAGTGTTTATAATCAAGTCATGGCATGTAATTTGAGACAGTTTGGAGAGTTTGGAGTTTTCTTAGCATAGCTGTTGTGTGTGTGGTGAATATTGTAGAAATCCAAACTAGAGAAGAAAACTGAATGGAGAATTGGGGTCAACATACTAATGGCATCCATTTCCAGCATAGAAGATTCCTCTTCTGTTTCTGAGAGTGCAGTTTCAGGCTTGTACATTCTGCAGCTGTTTCTGCTAATGACTTATCAGTCTTTCTATTATAACAGGAATTACCATGCTGCTACTCTAACTCTATACTACACTTTAGTTATAAGCTGTCTTCAAGTGCTACCTGTATTCCCCAATTAAGTATTAGCTATGTTGAATGCTGTTCTCTCTACTGAATATAGATATTTATTTGGTGTAGGTTCTACCTGCTGGTGTTGTCAGAGGCAGTAATTCTTAAGAGTAATAGGACAATAAAATCCTTCTGATATGGGGAATTTGATGCATGCTTTCATCAGCCTTTCACAGAAAAGAGGCATGAAGATGTGTTAGGGTATGGAAGGAGCAAAATGAAGAGTCTAATACCTGTCACTTGCTAATAACTTCTAGTAGAGTGACAGTCTAGAAAACATCTTTAGTCATCATCAGATGCATTACAGTATGTGACAGCAGGAGTCCACACCTCTGTTATTTTGACAAACCAAATTCAGCAACATGTACTGGTAGATATGCAGACTAATAACAGACCTAGGTGGTAGAAAAATGTCTGCAAAATGGGCACGTGTGACTTTAAGTGCAAAATACAGGAGGAAAACACAAAAAAAAAACCCACAAGTAAACAAAACAACTAGCATTCCCTGAGGTATGTTTCACATTAATGCTAGATTTGTAAAGTTAATCAGAAAAATGTGATTTCTGTCTTACTGATACTTTAGTTATTCTGGTGTTTAGTTTTATCCAAAACTAGGGTGACATTTCTTTAAAATTATAAAATGAATATGAAATGTATATGATAGAACATTATTTCAGTTTGACAGTGTCGTGAAGTAGTATTGAACTGAGTACTTTACAATGTTAAAATGTTACCGTGGAATACAAAAACTAGATTCTAATACATGCTTTTTAATATTTGCTTTTTTCCCTCTAAGTTACATTTTCAAGCATGTAAAAAAGGGCCTGTTTTCAAGTTTATTGTAGCTAAATGGAGAAAATTTTACTAGCAACATGAAAATTGAGATTTATTAGTACTTTCACATGAGCAGCACAGCAAAGGGGTAGGCAGCAGAACAAAGCTAATCTGATTACACGACCAGTTAGCAAAGGTGCAGTCAAGGGCCTGACATTAATATACATTGGACTTTGCTCAGAAGTGTTAGAGTTTGACAGTTATGTACTGTGTAATTGTTTGAATATTGTGTACTTTTTTTGTATTGTGATTACATTGTTATGTTCAATATATAATTCTGGAGGCCTTGGCAGCAGATGAGAAGTAATGCGTCAATGAGATTTGAACCTTGGCTAAGGTAAAAACATGGCTGTTATGTACAGTGGCAGCTGTTTATGAGCCTCAGCTGTCAGTAGACACTTCATTGTGTGTTTCAAGTGTGAGGGAAGGGATGAGTGGGTAACTGTCTAAGCAAGGTGGCTTTACTTCTACAGTGAGAAGAATTTCATATGGGGTCTCACTGTGCACGTGGTGAGTAGGATGTTTCTTATCACCAGTTTAATCTGATCTGGTCTCATCACTGGGAGGGCTTTGTTTTGTTTTGTTTTGTTTTTGAGTCAAAGGCCATCTGCTTCTCTCTATTGAAGCTAACAAGTCTTTTTGAAGGCTATGATTTTAGAAAATTCAGCCTTTCTGGTTGATCTTTTTTTTTTTTGCATGGTATCCTATCTTTCCAAAGTAAATGTTTCTCCCTCGGATTCTGTTATACTGCAGCTGAAATCAGGAGATTTCTGCCTAATTCACCCTGAGCTATGTGTATCTGAGCTTGAGGCTTTCCATCTTTGGGGTATAAGACATGAAGGCATGTTTTACCTTGAACAGAACTGTACTGTGATTGTGGCAACTGTTTATAATGAGGAAGCAGCAATGGTGGCCTCTGAGAAGAGATGGGGCTGCTCCATGCCAGATAATTGGTCCCAGCTGGCTCTGCAATTCATCTCCTGCTGGCCAAAGCTCAGCCTGGCAGCAAAGCTGGCGGTTCTTTTGTGAAAACACATTTAGGAAAGGCTGAAGAAGTTACACTGTGTGGCAGCTGAGGGAAAGAGAAGCAAAGAAAAAATGCAAGAAGCAGCCTTGTAGACATCTTCCTATTTCCACTTGGATTTGGAAGGGACATACAAGGGCTTGGAAAAATGAGATGCAAGGTTTACTGTTGTTAGTTTGTATCATATCTGAGACTACAATGTCCAATGACTCAGGAGACAGATGAGCGTTACCCCTGCTACATGTGAGGAGGAAGGGCCTGACCACGTCCATCTTCAAATTACATGAAATATTATTCTTTGTCAATTAGTCAAGATAAATGGTAAATTGCTGTGACTACAGATGTGCTCTCATTAAAAATATATTTCTGAATTCCTACTCCAGAGGGACTTAGGGCGCAGCCTGCCTTGTGAATATTCTCTTTGAATTTTAAGGCATTTCTGCCTTAAATGTCATCCAGACAGCAGTTGGATGAACTTAGTGTT